TTTTTTTTTTCTTCTGTTTAACTGGAGATTTCTGTTCAGCGGGTATTTCTTTGCTGTGCACTTTTCCCCAGTGTCTCAGTGTCCATCTTATTGCCCACTGCTAGCTCCACTGTAGAAGAAATGCCTCCCCACCTCTTCTGTCTCCTTGTTTTCATTCTCAGGGGCATCGTGGTGAAGAACATTAGCCAGAGGGCTCAGGTGCTCCCAGACGGTGGCTTGATGGCCTGTGCCACGTCCCTCTGGTCCCACCTCCAGGAGCGGGTGAGTGGCGTCACCCCGCAATAAGGCAGCGTCCTGCTTTGGGAAGAAAGTGTGCTGGGTTGGAAACCCTTGGGTGGGCCGGGAGGAGGCTGCCTTCCCGGGTCAGGGATGAGCGCTGGCCTGTCTTATCTGATCTGGAGTTGATGTCTGTCCCAGCTTTAGCTCTAGAATTACTCTGAGACCCGGGGAGCTCCCGTTCCTGTAGGCTGTGTCCTTGGTGCTTTCCCACGCTGTGGCATCCCGTTGCCGTCCCAAACTCTCACCCGGTGTGAGGAGAAGGGGCACAGTTTGAGTTCTGTCCTGTTTCTGCACTGGGGAGGCAGAGTTCTTGGCTTAACACTGGTGTTAGGAGGAGATGCTTTCCCGTTCCCTGCCTGCAGCTCTGGCTACCCCAGTGGAACAGCGTTAGCAAGTGCTGGTGGAGAGACGTGTTGGTGACCGTACCCAGCCTGCCTGGGTGAGCGTGCCTGCTCCGAATGCCCCCACCCTGTTCAGTCCCACCTGCCCCTTCAGAAGGCTTGAGGGGTCGTGGTCATGTCTGCCTTGGGTCACAGTTAGCAGTCAGAGGTTCAGATGGGCTTTTTAAGGCTGAAGAGAAAGGATGATTTATTTTCTGCTGGGGCTGTAGGTTCCCTTTAGGGTTTGCAGTCGCCATCTCCTGGCAGGTTTAGATTTGTTTTGGGTATTCGCGTACTCCTTAAAATGCTGTAAACCGCCACTGCTTTGCACAGCAGTTCAGAAGTTTCTGGCAATACCACTCGTATCTTGCAGTCTTCTTGGACAGGCACATCGCTGGTGGTGTGTGTGCTTTTGTTTTTGTTGTTTGTTGGTCTTTTGCAGGGTATTTTTATCAGGAGAAGGTGATAATGAGCAGGCTTCATCTGATACTGTTGTTTCCTGGAATTTGTACTTTCCTAGTGACCCCCAGAAACGTGGCCATATGAGTCACAGATATTATTTCCTGGGGAAAACAGGGATTTCTCAATGCCTGTGTGTTGCTTGAGACATTGTAAGTAAGCTGGGTGGTAAGTAAGCTGCAATGGACATGCAGCTGCCCGGAACGTTAATGATCAGAGGTACCCAATTTCTGGCAGTGAATCCATTTGTTCTGTGTCTGACCCTCCGTGAGCCAAAGTGTAAGAGGAATATACGGGATTAAACGTCAGGCTGGATGCAGAATAGGCCTAAAGGCCGTATCCAGCCTGCAGAAAGCAGCTTGACTATTGCTTTCTGCAGAGGTTTTGTTTGTTTTCTTTAAAAGAAAGCAGCGGTGCTCTGCCTGAACTTTTAGGATCTTTTTCCAAAAGTTTTACTTTTATAATATATTATTTAGTTGCTACTGTTCTATAATGACATTGTGTAAGTGGAACTTTTATACAAAAGCAACGTTAATGGAAAAGGCAAACTCATTTGAAACTAAAAGGTGAGATGTGTGCTTATTTTGCATCATCTGTGCAGGACTTGTATCCTGCTTTGATATGTCCCTGCCTTTACTCTGCAAAACTGTAGGTAGTTTTTCAGTACAAGCTGATGTCTGTCCTTTTGTATCTCTTGTTGCACAGGATCACTGGCAGTATCCGAAAGAAATGTGGACTTGCTGGGTCAGTGGCTTTGTGACCATCAGACACCTCCTGGAGGACTCGGTGGGTGAGCTGAGATTGGATTAGGTGGCTTCTTTTGCAGCTGTCCTGCCTGGTGTCTGGACTATTTTGCAGTTGGCTTGTCAGCAGATCCTAGCAAGCTCCATGACCAACAGGTCTTTGCAGCGAGTTTGAGATTTTTGTTCTGCCTGCTCGTACATGTTGGTGTTTGCCACATCACCCAGATGCGTCACCGGTCACTGCAAATGAAAGACTTCAGTCTGGAATGGTGGCCTGCAGGCTCACCAAGCTGGCTCAGAGCCTGTCTTATGTTCCAAAGTGTTGGTTTCCTTCTTGCATTTCTTGCTAATTAAGCTCAAATATGTATCTGAGTTTTGCATGGGAAGTTGTACTGGGTCTGGCTGAGCCGGAATTGGTTTTCCCCTGTATTAGCCCCCATGGTGTTGTGGTTTATGCTGGGAGCTGGCAGGGTGTTGGTAGCCCCCTGGTGTCGTGGCTACTGCAGAGTGGTGCTTACGCAGCACCGAGGCTCTTTCCAGCATTTCCCCCCAGTGGGACGGGGTGGGCAAGATCTTGGGAGGGGACACAGCCAGGACAGCTGACCCCAACTGCCCAAAGGGACATTCCAGCCCATGTGACGTCTGCTCAGTATAAAGCTGGGAGAAAGGAGGAAGGGGCTGGGTCACCCTTGGTCCTCCGAGGCAACCACTCCGCCTATGGGAGCCCTGATCCTGAGAAGGCCCGACAGCGCCTGCTCATGGGAAGTAGAGAATGAATCTGTGGTGGGTTTTTTTTGCTTCCACACGCGGACCTTTGCTTCGCTTTGCTTGTATTAGAACTGCTTTTGTTTTACCCATAAGGGTTGGTCTATCTTATTTTCTTTCTCCTCTTTGCCCTGTTGAGAAGACAAGGGGAAAGGGGGGGAAGTGATAGAGTGACTTGGTGAGTACCTGCCATTTAGCCAAGGTCAGACTGTTAATGAACAGAAAAACTGAGTAGCAACATTTAAATACATGCAAGCCACGATAAAGAGAATGTACCAAAAAAGTGCCACCACATGATTTGCATGCAGTGGAATGTTCCTATTTCCTAGGCAATGTGGCAGTGGGAAAAAAGCCTCTGTGGCTCTTTCCCGAGCCATTGTGATCCCTGCCCTCCTGCCCATCCGCCTGCCCAAACATGCTAGAGCTCCAGTATGAACTGGAGTCGAAGGCAGCCAAGTGGTACACCACGATTGTGCATAATCTAGTAAAAACTTAAAATCTTCTTTTGCCATTGCTTTCACTGCAACAGAGTCACAAGCTGGGAGCAGTGTCTGCATTCAGGCTGCCTTATACTCACTTGTTACATGGAAGTGTCACTGTATAGGAGGAAATTTTAGAGCAACATGAAAGTACTGATGCAAAATTTCCCAATGCAGCAGCTTAGTGATATGGTATGGAATCTGAAACTCCTTTTGTAGTTGTTTTTTGACTTATGCTTACTGCTTTTGTTTTTGAAGGTTGCAATCGCAGTGCCTACACTGTAAAACCAGTCACCCACAAAGTCAGAGGATGTTCCTTATCCCCTGGATCTGCTACCTGAACTGAAGCTTCCCACGAGGAGGCCTCTTCACACTGGCCTTGGAGCCGCAGTGTGCAAAGGTTCAGTGCACAGGATTGTTAAATGAAAAAACACAGGTAAGAACTGCTTGTGGGGTGGAAAGGAAGCTGCACGTGTTCTGTAACCACTCCTTGACTAACAGAGACTGTTATGAACGAACCCAGCTAATTCACTCGCCAGTGGTGGTGGTTGCTATTAACATGCAAAAGTACGTAAGTGTTCTTCCATTACACTCCCTTGTCTTAAACCTCCTGGGGCTGTAACACTCACTATTTAGCTATCACTTCTTCAGTGAAAACCCTGAGTTTCTCTCACAAGACTACTTCAGTTTTAAGGTGAAGCCATGGTTCTTCAGACTCTGTGAGAAACCTCTGCACTCCACAAAGCACAGGGAAGAATCAGGGCTAAGCCAAATTTTACTTTTACAGTGTGGGAGTGTCAGCCGTGCGCAGCTGTGGGAGATTCAGTATGTTAAGAGGCAGATTGACATCAGCTGGTCAGCTCTGTGCAGGCCCGGAGAAGCAGCAATGCTTTGAGGAGAAACAGCCCTTGGAAGAAAGATAAAGTGCCAGGCTGTGTGTCCTGGTTCAGCCAGGACAGAGTAAAGTTTTCCCCAGCAGAGAGAGAGGGGGAAGGGATCTCCAGCTGGGTTATTCATACCATGCTGACGTCAGGTCCAGGGGTGGAGCCTTTTCCTTGCTCCTTGGTGGGTACAGGAGGGAATTTGGCTTTCCGTAAACCAGCTAGCGGTATTTCTCTGTATATCGTTTGTCTTGTTCACTGTTATTGCTGTTTATTGTTACCATTGATACTGTTGTTGTTCAGATTGTTCTATCACTCTGTTGTATTAAGTTCTTGTTATTTTAGCCGGGGTCTGTGTTTAACTTCCAACCCGACCGGTGCGGGTGGGGGAGGGGCAACGGCCACGTGGTCCCTGATCCCGGCAACGATTAAAACTTGCACATTAATACTGTGCTAAGGTGGCAGGGAAAAACAATGGACAGCTGCAACTCTGAGCTGTGGAAAAGCACAGTACTATCTGATGGGAGAGAGGGTTGATGGCTGTCTAGTTGCTGATTTGTTTATTATTAAGAGCTTGAATGAGAGCATAAGTATGTATTATTGTGAGAAGAAAAAGAGAGATTAAAGAAAATAAATGGCCCCTGTCCTGCAGAAAGAACACTCTTACTCGTGATTTTGGCCGCTACATTATGGTGCACATGCGAGCATTCATTATTTACTGTGTCAAAGTGATGGGAAGTGTGTTCTGTGACTGCAATGGTTATGTAAAATACATAACAATAGAAACAGAATGAATGAAGCACAAAGCTAGTGGTGCAAAAATTATGTTTACCAAAGGTCCAGTCATTTCCTAATATAATTTCAGGTATTCTGATGACCTTTTTGAAATTATGCTTCAACAGTTAGAGTGAAATCTCATTTCACTGTGAAGAGTTTTTGATAACAAAATCGATTACTTCAGTATTTTCTGTGTTTTCACTGATTAATAATTGCTCTAAAATTTCCTCCTATACAGTGACACTTCCATGTAACAAGTGAGTATAAGGCAGCCTGAATGCAGACACTGCTCCCAGCTTGTGACTCTGTTGCAGTGAAAGCAATGGCAAAAGAAGATTTTAAGTTTTTACTAGATCATGCACTTAATTAATAAAATGTTCTCCAAGACATGCTCTTTCTACTTTAATTTCTACTTTCCTCTTTTGATGGCAGGTGAAACAAGCCTTATAAGAGAGCAATTCAGTCTCTAGAGTTACAGTACAAGAACTTGCTGTTCAGAAGCATTTGAAAACATCCTGAAGATGAAGATAATCCTCACGATACGATGCAATTTCAATGAGAGTACTAAAAGCTATGATATGCTAAGAACTGAACTAAGGTGTCAAGAGAAGACCTACACTTTAATAATTTTCATACCCATACAAGTTTCTAAAGCTCGACAGGAAAAACCCCAAGTGTCCTGTGGGTAATCTGTTACTTTGCCTTTTTGGGTAGAGGGCCCTATTCAATTTGTTTTTCACCAAAGATGCTAAATCACTTCAGGTTAAAGGAGAAAATTACTTCAGAGAACCCAGTTTTGTCTTCCCTTAATGTAATCTAAGTTGTGTTTTATTCCCTAGGACAAGTTTTCATGACTAAATGTCTCAGACTTCTGTATCAACAGGGGAAAAGATCTGAAAGGCAATTCCAAGCAGGGTCAGAGGGAGGTGGCTCTGCCCTTCTTGTGCCAGGTAGTTGGATGCAGATCCAATTTATCTTCCTTCTTTCCCTTGTTGCAGTTTTAGCTGCTGCTTTTTAACGATTCACTAGTCTCAGTTTCACTCAACCCTTCTTTTTACTGTCAGTACTGATGGATAAAGGTGTCCCTCTGTGTATCTCTAAGCACTCTGGATTATTGCATTCTTAACCTGCATTAAACAACTGAATAAAGGCTGCTATATTTGGTCCAATAAATACATGCATAGATGTATTTATTGTATATCAATATATTATCTTTATCGATACATAAATAATATATGTATTTATGTATATATTGTACATATATACACCCACACATATATAGTACCACAGTGTATAAATGATACTGTAAATTATCAAAATATTATTGGAAGTAGTCTTTAAAAAAAACACCCTTCTGAACTTTAAGATAATTGGTTTCAACTTACTCTAAATAAAAATACTCTTGCATTAAGAATACAATTCTACATTAATTTAACCCGTTTAGTACAAATGCATGCAGAGGTGTACAGTGCAGCTTATTTCTCATTGTCTGCTGTTGGCATGCAATGGATGTGCAGAATGAGGGCGCAGTCACGCTTCAAGTGCTCAGAGATACAGGAATTCTGCTTGTTAACAGGTGGATTGTCATTTCCCAAAAAGACTTCAAATGGGACTACTGTGGTTTACCTTTCACTTTCAAAATTCTATTGAGTTTGCCTTGTGACCAGGATTTAAGTATCAGTACAGATTGATTATCAAATTATAGGATCCAAAACTTTATTTAAATAATTTTCTTTCTACAAAAATATAGTTACACATAATACCCTTCTTGTTTCCTGTGGTTAATTCAATGCATTAATTCACTGAAAAGTTTTACAGTCCTCCAAACGATACCTGTTTAAGTTTCAAGTTATTCAAAGGTAATTTGTAGGCACTTTCCATTTAAACAAGTATTAAACATAACTCTTGCTGCATTAAGGCTGAAACACACTTCTGTTAAAGTTTGAAATCCATTTTCATATTGTTAAGTTGTTCCCATCTCTGTGGACTGCTCTAAATACTTGCAATGACTATTGACAACTTTTCCTTCAGTTCTACTTTCCCTCCAAAATTGACCAGTATTTTTGGTGGAGTTGAAAACTGTGTCCTCAGTATTTTTCAAACATGCCTGTATTTCTGGTGAAACTTATACTTCTGTGCTTTAGTCCCTGAGATAGCCTGTAACTCCTTACCAAATATTTATAATAATATATATTTGAATGCTGCCAAGCTAAGGTGAGATTTTTATATATGACACCTTACTCAAGAACATTTTATAGAAATTACTAACATAATCGGGTTCTTTACAGCTTTTAATATTCTTTGTATAAAGATTTAATAGTTATCTCAACTCTTTCCTAATACACAGTATTAAGCATTAAATGGATTTGGATTTGTTCTTTTTACCCAGCCACATTTTTGTTGCTGTTAACCTCGCTTTCAATCAGTCTGTAACAGTGACACGTCAAAAATTGGGGTTTTTTTCAGTTTTCAGATGTCTGGATAAGTACCTGAAAAAAACAAAATATATTACTTTCTAAAATCTGTAGAAGCATTGCCCAAGACACAACTTCTCCCTCCTTCCAACTATGGCAATAGTTTAAGGCTGTAGTAATTCTCTTCAGTGACTTCTGCTGAATAATTTCTGCTTTGAATGGCAAGTGAAACAGGCCTTATAAGAGACCAATTCAGACTATAGGGTTACAGTACATTTAAAAGATGGGTTCACACACATTCAGACACTTGGGAGAAACTTGAAGAATAAAAACATCACATGTTCATCTGAAAATGTTTGCATCTTACAATTAATATCCAAGATGATGACTGAAAAAAAAAAAATAGGAAAGCTTCCCTGTCTTCTTTGGTTGGTTTGTTTATCATGACTCAAATTCTGGTGTCTAAACAGCACTGCAGAAATGGAGAATCATCCCATTTGAGAATTTCCAGCATTTCTTCTATGAAGTAAATTTAACTTCTCCCCTGAATAATTAATTATAATTCTCCACTTCTGTTTTTCCACACAAAATTCCATTCAAAATTAAATAAAAATTAATTATTATCAATACTTTTTGGTAGGAAGAACTGAAACTCATTTAATAAAGCTTTAATTAAATTTCTTTTATTAACATGCTTACCTCACTAAGTATTGCCCAAACAGGAGAATCAGAATTGACTGATAAACGAATAGCCTGTATTTTTCCTATTGACTGATTGATACTGCCTTCTGCAATTCCATTTTCAAAAGCCCCTAAATAAAAAATAAAAGAAGGCCCATACAAAGATATATTAGAATTAAATACATTTCTAAAGGAACTTATGCAAAGCTCTAAATTACAAATTCTAAATTAACTCCAGGGATACAACATTAGGAAACAAAAAATCTTTGGGAAATGGTTAAATGATAACTGAAAGGTACAGTTATAAACAAGGATTAATTCCTTCAGTTACAGCAACTATGAGCTGGAGAAGAATACAAGAAATTGAAGAACGTATTGCTACAAATGTTAAAAAATAAATATGTTAGTTGTGACCATATACATATGGCACACATGGTCATGTCAAATAATCTAAACCAGCTTTTCTGAGCAGTATGATTATTTCAGAAAAGATATATTAGGAATCATGGACTAATTCTGATACATTTCTTCACTAGTTCAATGCTTTTTAACTGACTTGTAAACTGGCATCAAATCACTGCAGACAAATGAAAACCATTCATCTCATGTATGATATTCATTTCCTATCAACTTGCATGTGCAACTGTGATTTGACAGCATTTCAGACTGGATCTCTAATTAGGACAAAACAGCCAGGAGGATGTGGAAGAGAGGTGCAAACCAAAGAAAACAAGAAGTATTGGTGAGGCGGAAAGTGGTTCTGTGGGAGAGGGGAGCAATTAGGTGGTAGAAGAGACAGAAGAAAGTGGCAAGGAAATCGCATCTCCCACTAGCCTATTTTTGTTCACATAGTGGCATTTTAGTTTAGGTAAGAGTAGAAACCAGGCCTTGACAAGGATGTGGAGAATCCGCAGTTCACATAAGAGTGGTCACACGCCACCCTGAGGAAGGAAGAAGAAAAGCAGGGGTGGGACAAGACGCGGGAAGGTGCACTGAGTTATGCTTCATCTTCATTTCAGGTCAGAGTACAAGTCAATGCTGTCGTAAGAAACCTCTGCCTGCAGCTAAGACTGCAAAATCCAAACCAGAACCAATTATCCATTGTGGTGGGTTGACCCTGGCTGGACACCAGGTGCCCACCAAAGCCGCGCTACTGATCCCTTCCTCAGCTGGACAGGGGAGAGAAAATACGATGAAAAGCTCATGGGTTGAGATAAGGACAGGGAGATCACTCACCATTTACCATCACGGGCAAAACAGACTTGACTTGGGGAAAAAAAATTAATTTATTACCAATCAAATTGGAGTAGGATAATGAGAAATAAAACCAAATCTTAAAAACACCCTCCCCTCCACCTCTCCCTTCTTCTCAGGCTAAACTTTACTCCCGATATCTCTACCTCCTCCCTCCAGTGGCACAGGAGGGCAGGAGATGGGGGTTGTGGTCAGTCCATCACCCGTTGTCTCTGCCACTCCTTCCTCCTCAGGGGGAGGGCTGCTCACACTCCTCCCTTGCTCCATCGTGGGGTCCCTCCCACGGGACACAGTCCTCATGAACTTCTCCAATGTGAGTCGTTCCCACGGGCTGCAGCTCTTCATAAACTTCTTCACAAAGAGGTGCAGTCCTTCAGGAAAAGATGGCTCCAGTGTGGGTTCCCCACAGGCCCACAGGTCCTGCCAGGAGCCCGCTCCAGCGTGGGCTTCCCTCGGGGTCACAGCCTCCTTCGGGCACATCCCCCTGCTCTGGCGTGGGGCCGTCCCCGGGCTGCAGGTGGGTCTCTGCTCCATCACAACCTCCGTGGGTGCAGGGCACAGCTGCCTCACCACGGGCTGCCCCACGGGCTGCAGGGGAATCTCTGCTCCGGGCCTGGAGCTCCTCCTCCCCTCCTTCGGCACTGGCCTCGGGGTCTGCACAGTGGTTGCTCTCACATATTCTCACTCCTTTCACCAGCTGCAGTTGCCATTATGCAGTCTTGGGGTTTTTTCCCCTTCTTAAATACATTACCCCAGAGGTGCTACCACCATCGCTGATGGGCTCGGCCTTGGCCAGTGGTGGGTCCGTCTTGGAGCCGGTTGGCGTTGGCTCCAGCAGACACTGGGGAAACCTCTGGCAGCTTCTCACAGAAGCCACCCCTGTAACCCCCCCTTGCTACCAAAACCTTGCCACACAAACCAAACACATCCTATTAAGACCTTGCAGTTTTTCTTCTAATTAGCTGCCTTGGCTTTTGCAACTGCTGGTAGGCTTCTTCATTATTAAAAAAAGATAGTAATTGGTCAGACGTCATATACTATAATATGCACTACTGCAAAGGGTTTCTTTTCCTTACTAGCTCACCTCAGAATGTTGTATTTATTACAGAGTTAATGAAATTCTCAAATGCAGAAACATTTTATACATAAGAACAAAATTGAAGTGACAATAAACAATTTACCTATTTTTAAATATCCATCTTTGGTTGCTGGGTAGTTAAATTTACTTCCATTTTCAACCAGTTCTTTTCTTAACATTTCCTGTAGAAAATAAAACAATAATATCTCCAGAAATATTTTCTAGGGCATGACATTTTATGCTGAACATAATTTTTAATATGAAATAGCACTGTGTATTACAGTTGGAAATGAGACACTTACAGCAGCTGGCATCACTTCCACGGTAGTGTTAAACAGTTTATCACCAGGGTGCTCCATGTTTCCACTTCTGAAGAAGTACCTGATGATAAAGGTACATTATTTCCAGATATTTTATACTTTATAAAATTCTAGGGAAGTAATTCTTTCCAGTTTTGAAGGAAATTTTCGAATACCTTTTCTTTAATTAGTTGTGGGCTATGAAGAACAGAAATAGGCATTGAAATTTTCGAAGGTGTGACCAAACCATACTAGAGGCTTTTTATTTTAAACAGAACAAGCATCAAAACCATCCTGCTCTGAAGCCATGAGTGCAAGTGTTTCCCCTTTTCAGTGTTCAAGTTCCAAATAAATTAACTTTCTAGATTTAAGTGGCTAAAGAAGATCTGCCCTCTCATCTGTTCCTATCACTGAGGTAAGATCAGCTTCTAGAATGCCATGGCAGCAAAAATCCCTGTTTCCACTAGACCATATGCTACACGGCAAAAGAATCCCCCTTTTATCAATACTGATCAATTCAGGTGCTTCTAAATAATCTCCATTATAGCCAATGAGCAACAGCACTGTCAAAGCAAAAATCCAAGCAAAACCACCTATGAGATTTTAAAAAAACCTAATAAATCCCTGTTTGTTTTTAAATTTCTGGCATTAGAGTTCTTAGGCTTTTAGATCCAAATAGAGCTAAGGAAATTTAAAGCATCAACCTCCCTCCTTTGGTATCAAACAATCCAAACTCAAGACCACCAAATATTATAGGACTAACTCTACATTTTCACAGATGAGTGATATGATGGGGCTGGGACCAACCATTAGGCCATACCATATGTAAGCTAGCTTCATCCAGTCCAGCTCCCCAGTAACAGGAAAATGCAGAAATATAGGCTACCCAAGTTTCCTAAAGCATAAACCAGTTAATTAACAGTGCTGATCACAGAACACCAGTGTTTATTATAACAACTGTAATTTAGTGCAGCTCACTAAATGGAGATTTAGACTTCCTTTCTTAGATTTTTTTTTTTCCTAGATGAGAAATCAACAATCTTTGCAGAAATTGAAGTCTCCTAGTTTTAAGACCAGTTTTAGGAGGAAATGTAACAACACTGAACGAGTTTTGTCTCTGAATATCCTTACAGAG